GAGATTTACTTTTTCATACTCTAGGGATCATAAAGCGTCGAGAAAACAGTGACAATGAAAATAGTAATACACCAGGGAAGTAAAAATTGCGAAAACGATTCCTCAAAAGGGCTCTGACAGACGAAAATGGCAGATCACTTTTTGCGTACTCTGGAGGTCATGAAACATCGAGAAAACATGAAACTGGCAAGTCGATGAACTTCATTACTATACTTCCTTAGCTTATGCTCGGGAAGTAAAAAAAGGTTAAAACGGGTAGTTCTATGTAGTAGTTTATAGCGAAACAGCCTCTGGATATGACATATGTATGCAATTCTATTCTGTACACGATGGAAACAATCGATTCTACCCGCATCACCCTATTAATATTGATTGGCCTACAAAACTTGACTAAATCTTTTTTAATATATTTTATCACAGATGATAAAGTTTCAAATTTCAAGATAATTGACGGCCTACATTTTAAATGCTTCAACTACTTAACTTTAAATACAGCGCAGAATGTTAACAATCAGTACAAAGAATAATTTTTTGGAACTGAGTACTTAGAACTTGTCGATCTACGCAGTTCGTCCGTAAACTAACTGTTTTTTTTTTTTTACATTCATGGACTGAAATTTACACTTTTTAAAATTTTAGTATACCATAAGAACAGTGCATGTAATATACCAGTTTCTAAATGATTAATTTAGATCACAAAAATAGAATTCAAGAATCGTATACTTATGAAAAGTCTGTAAGAGTTTGTATAAATTACAGCAAAAATATGTCACCATCTTGCCCGTTAGTTTAATTTAAAATCCCATACTTCAACTGCAAACAAATAAATATGTAATAAACAGGAGTCGGTTTATTTTTCTAGAATTATGTAAACAGTCGGAAACAAAATTAAAAAAACAAAACTGATGACCTTCGTTTCATCAATATAATTTTATCGAAAATTTGTCAAAAAATTTACTAAACGTTTGCAAGACTTGGTCCAAGGTTATTTCGACACGACTTTCCTCGGCTTTCGAGTATAGTCCGACACATCCCTTTTTTGAGAAATTGTAAAATTTGATTTCGCGACTTTCGTTTTGCGATATCTAACCTCTATAAAGTAAAAACTAGTGGCGTAAAGAACACCCCTCCAGTGCGGATAACATGAAATATATTTAAATAGATTTAAACCAACGAGAAACAATGTATCCTGAATTTCCTCGTACACTCTTAAAATTTTGATACGACGTAATCAATTGTTCGTGGGAAAGGGGTAAAGATACATATTTTGATTAAAAGTTCACTATGCTTACGATAACTTTAAAACCTTTGTAAGATTTCAAAGCATTCGGTTTTACAATTCCTGATTTATCAATAAAATAAGTTGAGCCATTCATTAATTTTTTGAACCACCTGTATAAGCAATACTAAAAAATATGAATGCAGTGAATAAATCACAAGGATAGACTCATTCGGCAAAATTTATTGACGTCAACAATTTATTGGAGGGGATAAACAAATATATTTTGATTAAAAATTTACCATGCTCACGATAACCTTAAAACATCTCGCTTTTGCAGTTCCTATTATAATCAATAAAATAAATTTGACTCATTCATATTTATTTAGTCATCCTGTATAATCAGTTCTAAAAATATTAATGCAATGATAAATCAGAAGTATAGACAGACAAACAGGCCCGTCGAGAAAATATGAAAGTAGCCGGTTAGTTCTTAGCTTATGCTCAGGAAGTAAAAATTGGTCCAAGGTTACTTCAACAGAACTTCCCCCGCCCTTGAAGTATAGTCAAACAAAACCCGCTTCTTTGGAAAATTATAAAATTTGATTTTGCGATTTTCGTTTCGTGATGTTCTGTATAAAGTAAAAACTGGCGCAAATAACACTCAGTAGCCGCTGTTCGCACTATTACAATATGAAACATATTTAAAGCAGATAACCGACGGGAAAAAATGTAGATATTCTCAATTTCTCAGGAAGTACATGCTTAACTGCGACTATTTATGTTTATACTTCGAAACAATTCGACTATTAACACGTTCAGATTACAAGCATCGGCGGCGGCATGCATATGTGTAACATAAAATGAAGTTTGAATGATTTTGTCTCCTCAGCGTAGAGGAAGGCATAAACGGACAAATTCTGATTAACGATTTAACATTTACATGACATTTCTATTATACGTACAAAATTTGACAACATTCGGTACAGTAATTCGGCGAATGCGGGTCTAATCAAAATCGACACATATGACACACAGGCGGAAACGGGAAACCAACTTTTCGCACTCATGAAACGTCGAGGAAACATGAAACTGGCAAGTCGCCCGATAGACGCCATCAGTGTATAGTGAACCAAGAGCTATAAGGTTATATGGCCATCATAAAAGTAGTTGACCGCAAATAAATACCCCCTTTGTGTGGTTCGCACTAAGCTTACCGGTTGGCTAAATCATCTTCTAAACATTTCTTGCTCATATTTAACAGAGCCGGCTTTCAAAGCGAGTGGTTATTTCGGAACCCTCAGCGGCTGCAGGTAGTAAAGAAATAGTGGAGTGGTGGATTTTCATATTTAGTGAAAGCCACCCCTGAACGAAACCACAAGAGCCGGTCGAGCTGCAGTGGATACGTTATTTACGACCCTAAAACCTTTTCTATTGTAAACAACTTAACTTTGACACAATGGGATGATTTTATGATGGCCATATAACCTTATAACTCTTGGTTCACTATACTTTCTTAGCTTAACGCTCAGGAAGTAAAAATTGAAAATGTTGCAGGATCGAACTGAACTGCAGATTTTTTTTTCTGCAAAGTAGACCTCTCCACTACACGACGATTAGGTAGGTTTGCTTGGTTACGCATAATTTGAAGAAAGGAGTACAAGGTTTAAACAATAATAATAATAAGGGTAACAACAAACGAAAACAAAGCGGATTCATAAAACACAAGTGTGGGAGCATATTATGTTATGACAAGTAAATTATGCTTATTGTACAAAATTTTGAGGGATGTCATCATGTTGTTGGTGGGAATGAATAGACGAACTTTGGTTAGCGTTTTTCCATCTACGATATTCATAACATAAATCTAAAATTTGACAACAATCGGTCCAGTAATTCCGGAGATTATCTGTCTAATAAAAATCGACCCAGACGAGGCAGAGACGTACCAACGGAAAGATAAGTACGCTTTGAAATTAGTTATTATTAACATAATGTTTTAGTAGTAACACTAGTTTGTACACTGTTTTGTTTTCTCAACTCTTGGCGCTACATAGGCTAGTTGACCAACTCATACGCAAACGTTTTAAAACACTAATCCTATAAACCCTGCAGGTGACCACTATTATTCAATTATATTATTATGCAATATAGTACTAACAATTAAATGACTCAAGAATTGTCAAAATGCAAAAGCTGTTTTTTTAGACATGTGATATTGTTCGTAGGTTTCTCGAACAGTCTGATCATATCAGTCAGAATAGGTTAGTACCAGTAGGGCAGAGTAGTGTAGGTCACTTGTCGAGTGATGCGTCGATAAATGATCGGTAGTTACGCTAGGCTCTTGGTGATGAGGTGCGATTAGAGAATTATAGCAGACGAATTTGTATGCTGTAATTTCTAGGATCTCAAAAGTTTTTGATAAATCTAATCAATGCATATCATTACTTGGTCTTAGTACCCGTAATATATAATAAAAGTCTTGCCTAAATGCCGGTCATTTTGGGTCAATAGTGGGTCTTAAAATAGTAATAATAGCATTTATTACCCAACAGTATACACCATTTGGAGGACAACGCAAAATATAATACATAGGATAATGCAATTAACAAATGAGAATTAATTATGAATAAAACTTAATTATGAGTGAAATAAGTATGTTTCGTACTCAGTAACTACATACATATAGGTATTTTGAGTTGAGAGATTTTTTTGCTTATTATTATTAAAAGAAAAAAATCTAGGCAGGAGGATAAACGTCATTCAAATGTTTAAGAAAGGTGAAGGTCTGCAAAAAGCTTGCCATCGACATTGATGAAAACCTTCTCCTTCCTTAAACATTACTGTAAATCTCATGAATTCGGAACTGCATCTATTTCCGCAATGTTTTTTAAATGTCGCTTGTTGAAGAGCTAGCCAGTGAGTTTTCCAGCTAAGCGGAATCGACAAAATTTGCCAGTGTTACATCGCCGATTATTGGTCAAAATTGCTCCAAAAATTAGTGTCTATATAGAAACAAATTATAAGACAGAGACTCCACAAAATAAACTCTTAATTATAACACTGAACAAACATAAAAACAGGATTTCTTTTTTTTGAAAAATTATTGTTTTCTCAAAAAAAAACACCAACACAAACTTTATCTGAGTATATTGAAGAAACAATAATTCTAAAAAAAGAAAAAGCAGTTTCATTTAAAATACAGAAGTTGTCAAACTTTCATTTGTGTTTATTTTAGACAACTGAAAATGTCTTCATATTGTGTCCGATTTTAATGGCAATTACAAGGTCATTTTGCTGAACCCGCTAAAATTAGACACACTGGACACTGTCCATAACCAATATTATTAATAATAATGGAATTTATTTATCCAGCAGGCACAAGTCCAATAAGGGTAAATGTAATAATAACATGTGAAAACATTGCAATTTGGTCATTATCTCTAATTTTTCTTTTTCTACAATCAATAAAATCTCATTCAAATTTAATGACTAAAAAAAAACAAGTAAAAAAAAAGGTCCCAAGCTCTCTCCTTTCCTTACCATTCCATAAAAAACCTGTTTTCTTACATTTTTGTTTTAGAAACACCTTTTCGAATTTTTAATTTCTGAGACAAACTAAAAGGTTTTGAATAAAACCCTTATAAAACAAGGCACAAGCAATGCTATAAATAGGTTTGAATATCGATCAAACATGAAAATCATGCGATTAAATACCACACGTATCTCTGTGTACAATCACGGAATCCTGTACATGGGGGCTTCAACTTATCTGACTCACCTGCGTGACGACAAACGATCCTTTCCAGCTGAACAACGGTTTGTGGAACATTCGAAATTGCAACTTGAGTTTTCCCATATCATCCGTCACCCTGAAGGAATCCGCGAGCGTCGTAATCCAATTAACAACTTCCTCATTAGCATAAGTAATCAAACCCTGGCCAAACTGGTGTTTGCCATCCCCAACGAAATTCAAGATGCCTTTAACAGAGTTCTCCGTAAGAAGCGTCTCTTCGTCGAGATGCACAATCCAGTCATTTGCCGAGAGAAGATTAACCTTATCCTCTAAACAGTATTGCAGAGCTCTGGCTTTGAACAGAGCTCCGGATTTGGTTCGGTAGTCTGGAGGGACCACGATCTCTCTAACTCTTCTGTGCTTATCCAGGCCTATACTCTTATCGGTGACGACTTCTATGAGGAAGTTTTCCAAGCCGGCATCCAGACACTTATTCATGTTCCTATTAACGTTGGCCTTGACCAGTTGCGGAAAGTCACCCCTCGTGACTATTCGTATGCAGATAAAGGGGGCCAAAATCGGGGATGCTTTAAGCACCACCTTGTCGGGGAAGGCATTGTAATACGTGAGTCCCACAAAATTAAACAACACTTGTGGCAGGGGTAGGAAAGTCACTAACCTAAGCAGGTACAGCACCAGCGCCCCCAGAAAGCCGTACTGCACCCAGGGGTTAATGTCTTCCGGGGGGATGTACACGCCACTGTCCAATAACTTGATCCCGCCGGTGAGGATCTCGAACATGAATATCACATAAATAAAAAGACAACAGTGTAAGTAGTGCTTCGCTTTGCTGGTTAAGATCGTCATTTTGCCGAACTACCCTCACACGCACTACAGGAGATCGCGAATACCGAATATCGGATTACCGGTTTTTGGCTTGATTAGTTTTGAAAAGACGTCACTTTACATATCACAGACAGAGTGTGACGGGTTTGCAGAAGCCGGTTTTTCGGTTGTTGGAGAGTAGCATTATCACCCACACGACATCTGCAATGGCAATACTATTGCCTGTCGCGGCTTTTCTGTGGATCGCTGTTTTGCTGGGGCAAAAGGGGCATGCGCGTAGGGAAACCGATATCGGAGGTTGGGCGACACTTTGCTGGGGTTTCACTTATGCAAGATAGGATGCAAGCACGTTGATTCTGTTGCCTAAGCAAGTTCGCCCAAATTAGTTAGACAACAGAAGGGGCGACAACGTTTCAGCTCAAATGAAAGCTAATTAAAACTTTTTGTTATTAAAAATTCGTTTTTCTACCTTTCGGTGACACCCGTTGTTTCGATTCCAAATTCACGTAGGTAGTGCTCTTACAACGAATAAATGTTTTATATATTACGAACAAATACATATATACTTGCAATGAAAACGTTAAAATAAATCATAAAATGACATGACAAACGAGACAAAAAATATTTGACAAGGATAATGTCAGCAGTATTCAAGACATAATTTGCCTTCATATTTTCTGTATCGATATTATTTAATCAAAATTTTTCAAGTGTAATACTCGTCATGCTACCCTACCAAAATGGACCTCAACAATCAGGACGTGTTCCATATCCAAAACTACCAAAACCGTATGTATAATTTTGCTACTTTTTTGAAGTAAAAATTTTCTCAGATCTTATATAATTGCAAATAAGTAGACATCTGTGTATGTATGCATCACCAACACCAAAATATGTATATAAAAAAAAACTAAACAACCGGAAATTTTATTCATTTATTATATGCATAAGATATTTTAAATTTATTTGCCTTCTGTTTCTAAGGTAGTCCTTTATTTTTACTTTCAGACCGAGCGTTTTGTATTTTCAAAAAAACGTAGCAATTTTTAAAATAAAAAATAAAGTGTGTAAAATCAGAGTACGTTTCAGCTGTATGCTTTTAAAAAATATTGAGGTGATAGAGATTTTTTTTTTTACTTTAGGCGCCTTTTTTTTTGGAAAATTTGACTTCTTTTAAATATTGTAAAAAAACTGCAATGCATTTTGGGCAAAAGTTAGACAACCCAAAATATTAGCTCAGGCGATAGGCTGTAATTTATGGCCCACACAATAGAGCACATTTTAATTGTCTTCTCAGTTTAAAGTGGTTTTTATGATAGGTCCATTGTGTCGAAGCTGATGATGGGGACAATGGGGTAAATCCCTAGCCATAAATAAGAAAGTGGTCGGTTTCTTGCAGGGCCGTACTTTGTTATTCAACTCATATTGTCCGTTGTGGGGTAACAATGAGGTGATAATGTTTATATATTATCTTGTCATAAAAACCACTTTAAACTGGGAGTACAATACCTTAAGCTTATTTGACCACTCTTTGAAGTCTTTGATGTAGTCTGTGTCTTCGCAGGATAAATGCGAGTAAAATTTTTACAGAAATATGATAACAAAGTTTATAAAGGAAAAACTCATTTCAAACACATCCGTTGCACGCTTCTTTACATTTTCTTTAATATTGCTAACAAATCTTTATTTCAACTTCTAGGGGTTCCCATAAAAATAGTACAATTCGCAAAATTTACCGAAGTCACTTTCTATACAGGGTGATTCATGAATAGCGTCCGCTGTAATAGTTATGTTTATGCAACCCAAAAATACATTTTCACAGGCTACTTCGCGAATTATTTATTTAAATAATTTTTTAATATCAGAGTTATCCAATTTTGAGAAACGCCAAATGCGTCAAAAATATTTTTCAAAGTGTCATTAAATGTACAGCAAATTGAACTTAACAAAAAAATACATTTTAATACGGAAAAGCAATAATAGAATAACAAAACTAATGCAATAAATACTCAAATGTGCTCCTTTCACAAACTCCTAGGCGGAAAATTTATCGAAACACAAATTATTGAAAACAAAATTTCGAATACATTTTGTCGAATAACAAAATATCGAAAGTGCAATTTATCGAAAGTACAATTTATCGTAACACAAGTTATCGAAAGAACAATTTATCGAAACAATTTATCGAAACTACAAAATACCGAAAAACAAATTATCTATATAAAACACAAATTATCGAAAATACAAAAAGTCGAAGCCGAGGTCGAAGCAAAATTATCGATGTAAACAAAAAGAAATCGATTGCATTTGAGTGAAATTTTAAAAAAATGCAAACACCCAAGAAACCCTACGTCAGTGCTGACAGTTCCATTAATCAAAAAGTTTTTAAAAATAGCAACGATGGATTTTCAATTTGTGGAAACCAACAGAAATAGAAAAAAACTGTATTGTGGGGGCTTTTTCTACACTAAAATTAAGCGAACAGACAGTGCAGAATATTGGAAGTGTGACCAATGGGTTAATAAATGCAAGGGGCGTGCAATCATTAATAGCGATGGTGGAATAACGTTGAATGGTGTGCATTATCACGAGGGAAACCCAGTAAAGTTGGAAGTTGCGGAGACTGTTGGCACTATAAAAAAACGGGCACAATCCGAGAGGGATGCTCCGCGGGCCATTATATCTCGTGCAGTTTCATATCTTAGCCAGACTACGTCCAAGATGCTACCGACGGTGAGCAGTTTAAGCCGTTTCATTCGCCATGCCCGCGAGAAGGAAAATTCGGGTCCGTCAGTGCCTTTGTCATTAAGTGAATTGACAGTTCCGCCACAGTACCAAAATACCGCGAAAGGCGACAAATTCCTTCTCTATGATTCCAAAGATGGGACCAAAAAAATCTAGAACTGTTGCCGAATTCTACTACGTGAATGATGGATGGTACGTTTCAGACCGTGCCGGCTCTATTCTACCAATTGTACACAATTCACGGAGAAATCCGGGATGCGTACTTTCGTTGGTGTTCGGCCTTCTGCCTAAGAAATTCGAAGCCATATATGTAAAATTTTTTGAAAAAATCCGTGAATTCTTAGCAAATCCTGAAGTCAAAGTAATAATAACAGATTTTGAAATTGCTGCGATTAAAGCATGTTCGTTTTTATTTCCATCGGCCACAAATCGTGACTGAAAAATATTGCTGTAAATTTATAATAAAGGTCCCTCGTTCTTGTTCGTTAATTCGAAATTTTGCATCTTCTATAATTTTTTATATTCGATATTTTGTAGTTTCGAGCTTTTGTCGTTTCGATAAATTATGTTTCGCTATTTTGTCCTTTCGATAATTTGTGTTTCGATAAATTGTACTTTTGGCAACTTGTGTTTCGATAATTTGTCCTTTCGATAATTTGAATTTGTGTTTCGATAAACTGTACTTTCAACAACTTGTGTTTCGATAAATTATACTATCGATACTTTGTTTTTCGATAAAATGTATTCGATATTTTGTTTTCAATAATTTGTGTTTCGATAAATTTTCCGCCACCCGTGAGGGCTACGAGGGGGCCACGGATTTTCTGCGCCTCTACCAATCCACCTAACTTCAAACTTATCGTTAAAATAGTTGCACACAATGCGATGCACACCGTTCAGTTTTTATATTTTTATTTATTTCAAATCACTTGACAACTGTTAAAGTGAGGAAAAACTTTGTTGTCCATAGTATGTATGACTATTACCTCTAAATGTACTGTACAACAGAGACTTCACAATTGTAGCTGTTGCTGTAGTCGGTCTAAGTTTGTAAATACTGTTACGAAATAAATCCATGCGCTGCCCCGGTACGACGCCAATGGGTTTTCTAGTACATGCGGCGATGATGGGTGACTCATCGTCGGTGACGGCGGCCGGACAGCGCTTGCTAAAAAAAGAGCCTGGAAGCGGTGACGGAAACATTTCAAGAAGGACCACCTGGCTGTTTAAATGGGAACCACCGTCGGGAGCAGTGAGTGGAGTCCAGACAATGGGAGAAGTACAGTCTAGTCAAATCCATTCCAGTCGAGTACGAGTTATTCTGTAGATAATCACTGTATAGTAAGTTGTGTACGTTCAAAATTTGAACCCATAACCCTAATTTCTCTTTCTTTTGATCAAGCGTTAGAGAGTGCCTGTAGCCTAGTGTCTATTTCAATTTGGTCTAAATTCGAAGATAATAATTTTTTCAAAAAAACCTCTTTTGCTGTATCAAATATTTCTACATCCATGTCAGGATTATCTAAAATATTTAAACCATAATCGGAATCAGGACCAGCATACGTACATTTTTGGCGATGTATTTTTTTACGAAGACGACCTTGTTCCATGGACGAACGATATTTTTTTGTTATTAACCCAGGCCCATTTTTTGTTATTTTTTTTATTGTTTCATGATACATACCTTTTTCAGAATTGTATGATAAGGCTGCACAGTAACACCTGGTCGTATAGCCTACTTTAAAAAAAAACTGACCCTTTTGCCGCCTACAAACTTACTGATTACAGAATTATAACATTCTGATAAAGTTGTTGGTAACATTGTCTAATAAACTCCACGCATTATATGCCACCCTTTTATTTTGAAACAAAATTTCATCAAAAAGTCCATTATCAGTCAACAGTGGGAAGAGGTTTTGTTCTCCAGCGTCCACTTTTTTTTACAGATTCTTCAGTACAAAAGGAATGTTCACTAATATTACAGAAAGTGTGATCCCCAAAGATATGCCTAGGACCATTTGCGATTTCTTTTCGTAACATTAGTACTCTTCTTTCGAATGATTGGTTTTTATTTTCTGTCTAATACTATTTCATTCTGCATATTACTGATCGTATCAAATCCTTCTTATCCAAATAACAAGAAATGTCTAAATTGTGTTTGAGTATAATTATTTTATCTTGAGCATTAAAATTACTATTTCAAAAGAATACGGGAAATGATTATTCTGTGCTGAAGGTGTGTTGTCAGCAGCCTGTTATAAATTATCATTATTCTTTAGTATCGGCTTACGATGTTTTTATAACCCATATCCCGTAATCGTCTATCCCAGCGCGGCAGGTACATTTTACGGAGAATTGCTGGTTGCGTTTAAGGCAAAAAATAGCGCCAAATTCAAATTCACAGTATAGAGATCATGGTGATCTCTATATTGTATCAAACTTGTCTGTCGTCTAGCGTTCTCCCTGAATAACTCTGTATACATATAGTATCTAGATTTTTATGAGATTTATTAATCAGTTTTTTGCATTTGAATTATTCAATCCTTTACGTTGCACAAAAGACTAGACATTGAATTCGAGTGTTGCTCACCATTAAAATTATAGATGTGATTGTTTTTGTACAACAAATACATGCAATCTTGCCAGACGCCCTTTAGTAAGCTCTGACGGTGTAAACAACATCATGTCACAAAAATAAAGTCATTAGTATATGACATTTGCAATACTGTAATGACATCACAAATAATGTTGATAAAATTTGTTTACATTGCAATTTTTTGAGCAGACAGATAAAAATATCACCATAATGTTCAACCACATGAGCAAATTAAGGCTCGTAGCAAGGTACATAGATCTAGAAATTGGTGTGGGAAAACTTTTTGAATTTCAAATTTCATTTAACTAAGGTCATTGTACACCAATTTTTAAATTACTTTTTTGTGTTTTTGTTAAATGTTTAGTTTTTTAGTTATGTGAGGACATACAGTAGAAAGAAAGTAGGTAATTTCTGTATTACCTTTCAGGTGTTCCTGTTACAGTTATACTGAAGGTTGAAATATGCACTAAAAACGCATGTAACGAGTCAAACCAATAACGCAGCTTTACTTTTTATATTTTGAATCGTTCTGTATAAAGAACAACGTGGAGATGCGTATACAGACATAACGCACCAACCAGAAAGGTGGAGCTTATTGACCTTTAATCATTTAGAGGGCATTTTTAAGTCCCGTTTTATTTTATCATACACAGTTCACCGGTCGGCCCGAGAACTTTGATCGAATTACACTTAACTAAAAAGTGCGTTATTTATAACCACCACTACTACTAATCACTCCATTATTTTTTTTCCAGGCTTTGCCGGTGCACAATGGGTCGAAAATTCGTAGTAGGAGGAAACTGGAAGATGAATGGAAACAAAAGTCAAATTTGCGATATAGTTAGTTTCCTCAAAACAGGACCGTTGAATCCAGAAACTGAAGTAATAGTCGGAGTTCCAGCTATCTTCTTGGACTATGTAAGAGTAAATCTACCAGAAAATATAGCCATAGCAGCCCAAAATTGCTATAAAGTTGCCAAGGGAGCTTTTACTGGAGAAATCTCCCCAGATATGATCAAAGACGTCGGGGTAAATTGGGTAATCTTGGGCCATTCAGAACGCAGACAAATATTTGGAGAAACCGATGAATTAATTGCCGAGAAAATAGCTCATGCTTTGGAATCAGGTTTGAAAGTTATTGCTTGCATTGGTGAAACTTTGCAAGAACGTGAAGCTGGGAAGACTGAGGAAGTAGTGTTTCGACAGACACAGGCCATTGCTTGTAAAATAAAAGATTGGTAATTTAGCGCAATATTGTGAAAGAAGTGTGTTGATTGCTGATTTTAGGACAAACGTTGTTGTTGCATATGAACCAGTTTGGGCTATAGGTACTGGCAAAACTGCTAGCCCTCAACAAGCACAAGAGGTACATAGAGCACTGAGGCAATGGTTTTGTGATCACGTTAATGCTAGTGTTGGGGAGTCTATTAGAATTCAGTATGGTGGCTCAGTTACAGCTGCTAATTGCAAAGAATTAGCTGCACAACCAGATATTGATGGATTTTTAGTTGGGGGTGCTTCATTGAAACCTGAATTTGTAAACATTATCAATGCAAAGCAATAAAATTGTGCATCTGTTTGTCACTAAATATATATGTAGAGGAATGTGTAAATAAAATACAGACTACAGCGGCTCCTGCATTTTATTAAAAATTCTGTTAATATTCACACCTGTATGTAGGATTTCCCACTAAAAAATTCTTTATGATGAACATGAAATCATACCACAAATCGTTTACACAAAATTAAAAGTTCTTTAATATAATATAAAAATATATACATTAGTGCATTTATTTTGGACCACCTAAACTACATGCAGTTGCCTTTGTTAGAACAGGCAACTCCGAATACATAAAATAACCTCACGGTGTTACAACTCTATTATTACAAAATGAAAACCATATTTACAAAAACTCTTCACACCAGTCCTTTAAACATTGCCAACATTCTGCAGATTGTTTTGCATTAGCCTGGCATGTATCTTTCATCCATTCTTGAAAAAATTCCTGATTTTTCTTTAGCACTAAGAACTGTCCCAAAACAACATACGCCTGCAACACAGCAAATGAAGAATGCAAAAGTTGATGAGTTTATAAAATTCTAACCTTATCAAATCCAGCGGCAACAAGACGTTTCCCCAGCACTTCTCCTACACCTGCTAAATCAGTAACGGGTTTCTCACCCATGGGTTCAGCGATAAAATTACGATGTTTTTGTGAAGTACTCGACATATTTGAGTTTTTGAAATAGTGACTTATGAGAAGCAAATAATAATAATATTAATACACTCCGGACGCAATAATAGAGACTAGGGATCACAGAGTAGGGATAAAATAGCGTCATGCATTACTCCATCGTTCAAGCCACTAAACAAACACATCAGTCACCAACTTAAAAACCTAGAAACCCCTATATTCTTTACAACGGAAGTCCACCGACCATAGAATAACCCCACATCCCCACCACAGTATATTCCCTACTTCCCTACTATGCAAGGTTAGTTAATAGAGAATATCTATTAAATGACTTTGCCTACTATGTATGCTTTTCTATGCTACAGGTGCTACAGGCTACAGACTGGAGCATACATTAATTTCAACACTCATGCGGACCAATGGAGACCAATAAAAGGCAGAGCACTTTAGCGCGCCAAATACAAAACGGAAAACGCTCGAACCATAGAATATCCTCCCTGCTCGAACCCTTGTTGCGTGTTTGCAGAGGGCGTAGTTTGTGATGCAGAACGTGCACTCGTGCAGAGTTCAGCGTTTTAAGCGGGAAAACATTTGTCCGTAAAAGTCACTGTTCTCTAGATTTTTGCGAACGCAATTTAAGGGTCATCAAAATTGATTGAAAGAGTTGGTAAACCTGAATTTGAATAATTTGGTTTATTAAGTTGTATAATAGATATAATAGATAATATCTGGTTGACCGAGTTTCACTCGGCTCGTTTGGTAGTATTAGATCAGATTAGGACAGATAAATATGCGTATAGTATGCATTTTGAAGTACACGCGCTACTTAAAAATACACATTAAAAAAGAAATTCCATAAGCAGTCTTTGTTTTAAACACTGATAAGTGACATGTAGAGATTAAAGAACAGAAAACTGGAATTATTGTTTGACATCTCATTTGTTACCCAAGTTTTCTCTCTGTCGTTTTTTTTTTTCCTAGTTCTCTCTCTCGACTCTAGAAAAAGGTCACAACCACATTCTTACTGCCAGAAGAGTTTCGCCTCTGGTGTGGTTAACATACTGAGTTACCGTGCTCTTTTGTGTTATTCCTAATTTCTCAATCTCAACCGTGCTCCCGAAGATGCCATTTACGAAAGTGTGCGAAACGTTGAGCCCAAAAACTCAAATAACACGGTCCCATCCCCGAAAACGATCACATGTTGACACTGACCGTGGAACCTCTGAAATGAATGCTTGACAAAATAATCTCAATTCAACACACTTTCGTGTGCCTTTTATCCGCTCACTGTTTAGTTTTTGGTAAATTTTCTCACCTCAGGAGGTGAATTTCAACGTCCTCTATACAGTGGAGTATGTTCCGGTACGTACAATTGAAGATAAAAAGGTACGTCAAACGTACTGTCAGACTGTCACCCAAACTTCTCATATAAAACAATCTCGTGTTCGTGTAGTGTCATCTGATGTTGCCTAGCAACAAATATAATTCACTGCCTGAAAATTGCTGAAAATGCATGAAGCTGTAATTTTCAGAAGTTAAAACTATGATCAATCGATTTCTTGACCCAAAAAACCCCTAACCTGTAAATTTCATCGAAATCGTTAGAGCCGTTTTCGAGAAACCCATTACATATATATATAAATATATATATACAAACTTTGCTCGTTTAATAGTATTAGATTAGATACATAAAAGTCAGGAAAATGTCTCATTACTGAAGAGGAGCTATGTTGAAATACGAGGCACTTTGTGCCGAGTATTTTAAAGCTCCGAGTCAAATAAGACATTTTACTGACGAGTTTTGTATTAAATTTTTCCGGAAATCGCAATAAATCGCTAAAAATCGAGATTTTCCAACAAGTTTTTTAATTAATTGCGCAAAAATCTAGTTTGTCAATTTCTTGAAAACGATGGTTACAAACAAAACAATTATAAAATTTTGTGCGTACGTCAGAGCTGTGTGTTTATTTCATTAATTAATTATGAATACAAGCGAAAACACTGGTGAGGATGTTCCTTTTGACCTAAGCAAAGCAGCCGCTGCTGCTACAGAAGAATTGTTACCGTCGAAATCTAAGGAGCGGTATGAAAAGCAGTTCCAAATCTTTGAAGATTGGCGCAGGCTTAAAAATGTTACTTCGTTAACGGAAGACGTATTTCTGGCTTATTTTGCGGAAAAATCAAGTTCTTATAAGGCTTCAAGCCTCTGGAGCACTTACTCTATGTTGAAAGCCGTGCTTTTGTTGAAGGAAAATTTGGATATCAGCAAGTTTTGTAAGGTAACTGCTTACCTAAAACGAAAATCGACTGGTTACCAACCAAAAAAATCGAAATGTTTGTCTCGGGACCAGATAGATAAATTTCTGCTTGAAGCTCCCGACAAGGAATTTTTATTAATGAAAGTAAGTTATTACAATGATTACATATTTAAGTTTTATTAAATTTGGTAATTTCAGGTGGCGCTTATTTTTGGGGTGTCTGGAGCCTGTCGATGCGACGAATTATCAAGGATGTTAGTTGACGACATTGAAGATCAAAATAACGTGCTAATAGTACACATTCCTGATTCTAAAACAAAAAAACCTCGACGCTTTGTAGTTGTTGATGAAAGAAATCTTGCTACATACAGACGTTATTTGGAATTACGTCCGCCTAGTACTCCACACAAGCGCTTATTTTTAAATTACAAGAAAGGGAAATGTACGGTCCAACCAGTGGGCTTGCATTCATTTGGTAAATTTCCTTCTCAAATTGCTACCTACCTTGGTCTACCAACACCTCTGGAATACACAGGACATTGTATGCGGCGCAGTTCCGCGACTTTACTAGTAGACGCAGGAGGAGATATTACCAACTTAAAAAGGCATGGAGGATGGCAAGGCAGTTCAGTAGCAGAAGGATACATAGAAGAGTCCATCGAAAATAAATTAGATATAGCTAATAAAATACAAGCTGGTCCGAAAAAAAGACCCTTCACTAATATCGAGACGTGTCCCTCTACAAGTAGTGATTCATCTGAAATCTGTTGCACCGAAATCTCGACTGAAATTTTTGATAAAAAGGTTAAACTTGATCATAAATCTCTGTCTGGAATTAACATTGCAAATATATCGAATTCTACAATTAATGTTAATATCTGTAAATAGTGTAATTTACGAAATTTTGAATAAATTTTTCTTGTTTAAATACGAATAGGTCTCTGGATGCATATACGTAAGTGTTACATTATAACACTTCTAAATTCTTCACACAAGATTGCTAATACGAGCCCTAACAACTAAATATTGGGACACAGACAATTTCTCAAAAAAATCCGGTACATATTTTTGATATCATTCAATTCGTTTGGACTAAATGCAAATTTTGCATGGGCAATTAATAAATTTTCTTAGAGCGCAAAAATTGTCACCTAAATAAAAATGTGGCATTTTTGCTGACATTTAAATGTTGGGACACCCGAGAAAATTTGCTAAGTATACCATCGAAATACAAACGTAGTAGCTGGTAAATGCTGCCATTATTATAGGGATCGTAGCATTTCATACTAGTGTTGGTTTCACTTAAAAGAAAATAGTTAGTGGTGGGCTAGTTTTAGTAAAATTTCTGAAAATAATAATTTCGCAGTACTGCATGGGAAAATCGATAAGAAAAAGTGAAGATTTGTTCTAAATAGCTTAGTCGTCGATGGTAAACATCGTAAAATATTACGCTGACAAAGGTACCACAGGAATAAAAGGTAAAATTCCCAGTAGGCCACCACTTGTGAAGCCGCGTGATCAACGACAACTGATGAAAATTTATAAAAGTGGACGACGGAGTACTTCAAGAGAAATTACTACTTGCTGGAATAGCGATAACCAACTAAATGTTTCAAGACAATATTGTCGCGAATGGATACACAAATCAGGCTTTGGTTTTTACATTGTAAATCTTAAATAAAGCTATATTGATTGACTTTATTATTTATTTATATTATGTTAGGCTAAAGTAAAACCACAATTAAAAACTGCCCATAAGAAAAATTGGTTAATATGACCAAAATAAAAATTGGAGAAAAGTAATATATAACGCTGAGTCCAAATTTGATGTATGGGTGAGATAATAGTCGAAAAAGAGTTATTGAAATAAAAAAGGAATTTTAATATGGATTATCTTAAACAATCAATCAAGTCTGCAAGCGGAAAAATGGTTTGGGGGTGCCTGTCTATTAACGGAATTTAAAGACCAGTTAACAACGTTCATGGAAGGGAAATTACAAATTCAAACAAATGTCAAGAGACTTTGTAAAAAAATATTAACAACTACAGAAGCAGTCTATCCTGTTGATATTTATATTTTTCAACAGGATGATGCTTCAAGTTACACACCTACAACACTTATTACAAAGAATAATAATATAAATGTTTGCCCTGACCATCGAATAGCCCAGATCCTTATCTAGTAGAGACGGTATGAAATAAAACAATATTTAGGAAATCATCCATGACAAGCGATTGTCAATCTTCAACAGGAAATTTAGCGAGTGTAGGATACGGTAACAACTCCTGTGTATTGCAGAAAATTAGTTGAAAGTATGATGGCAAGAATTCCTGCAGTTATTAAGGCAAAATGAGATATGACCAGTTACTGAATTTGCTGTGTCCCAATATTTATGTGTCACAAAATGTTACGTTGGTTTAGAGTTTTATGTCACTGTTTGAGTTAGAAATCAGTTTTTGTTGTGCTGTAAACATTAACAGTTTTGCAAAACGAAGTAATTTTAAAATTTTAATTATCTAAAGTAAATTACATTTTTGTTAAAAAGTTTGGTGATTTTTTTATAAAAATTTTTTGTTGTCCCAATATTTAGTTGTTAGGGCTCGTAGTTCATTTACGGCAGTTAAACAAGTTCGTTATACTGCGAACTGGCGGGGGTTATGATATTTTGTTCCCTTAGGTTGTTTTGTTATCATCGTTATCATGATTAATTCATTGGGGCTTGCCTCACAACGCCACAGATTGATTAATTAATCAAGGCATGCCCTCTCAACGCTACAGATTGATTACATCACCGAGACGCTTTTTCCTCGCAACGATTTTAAAAATTTACATCACCGAGACGCCTTTTCCTCGCAACGATTTTAAAATTTACATCACCGAGACGCTTTTTCCCTCGGAGCGATGATTGGATATTTCTGTGTTTGTTTATTATGTGTTTTGTTGGGGTAGCCAGTTCGCAGTATTTTAAACTCTCAAAGTAAATTATTTTTGAAGTAACCAATCGCTTAGATCATGATATAATTTGGCATAATGTAAACTCTTTGTTTGAATCGTTGATAAAGTGTGGCAATTATTAATCTCATGTAAATTTTGTTAACGCTGCAAATTTTCACCTCATACAATAATATTTCTTTAATCTCACAATTTTAACCTCAGTAATTTTCCTTTGTTGTATAATTTTAATTGAACGTAAATTTCATGTTCTACAGTTTTAACCTCACATAATATTTCTATTTGTACAAATTCATTTCACACCAGATCTTTTGTTTCATAAATCCTTGCTAAGTTTTGTTCTGTAAATGAATTGCTAACTGCAGAAAGGGGATATATCACATTTTTCAAAATGTTGAGGAAATGAATAAAACGTCTCAGATTTTTACAACTACTTGTTTCCGATCCCCGTTTTCAATTGTCGGTTCTCTATGTTCTCAGTTATCAACGAGTGTTGGTTAAATGCATGTTTTCTTTTTTGGGTCAATTTGGCTGTCAAATTTGACACTTGGACATATCCCCTTTTTGCAGTAAAATGAAAAAAAAGGTAAAAAAAACACAAAAAACAGCTTTATTTCAGTAATAATTTTACACAAACGTGTTATATGTATATCTGACTAAAAAACTTAATCATTATCGCGCTCCTGTTCTACAGTTGGCCAAGTAGCAATCTCCTGCCAAAATGCGTTATAAGCGTCTGGGATAAATCGTAAAGTGTTTGTTATATCCGTCATTTTCTTCTGGCTGATGGCTAGTTTTTCGGGATACGCTTGTGTTGTAGGAAAAGCCAAATTCTTTTCTGTATTTCTCAATCTAAAAGTGTCTGTGAGTAAACCGTTTATCAGCTCTCGACAAACAACTTCGCTAGGTGAGGAAATAGTTATCTGATGAAAAGAAGCAATCGCAAATGACTTTTTCTGACTGCGTGGTACGCGCTTCCCGTAAGACTCATTACTTAGGCATGTCTTTTTGTAAAATCTTGACCACCAGCTTTTAAAATCATAAATCATATCTCTAGAAACCTCAACAATTGAAAATTTCTGAGGATTCTTTGATGCTGCAGAGATTATTTGAATGTATTCAGGTACTGTGTAGAATCTTTCAGCTCTTAGTCTTTAAGACGTTGAGACCACGGTGTTTACTGCAGAAAGTCGATATCTCCTGGACATATCCCTTTTCTGATGTAACCGTAAATTTCATCCGCTTGTAGCCCCGAGCTAAATCATTAAACATGGCCCGTTTTTGCAGTAAAGATGTGTTTAGACCTCTAGAACACGATTATGTAGGAATGTTATTGTGGTAAAAAATGGGACATGTCCCCTTTCTGCAGTTAGCAATTCAAATATTTTGTTGATGAATGTTTCTATCCTATAAATTATTTGATGTCCGACTTTAATCTCACATAAGAATTATTTGTTGTTTAAAATTTCACAAGGTTGTATGGCGAATCTAAATGTTGTTTATTGCTCTTTGAAACTTTAACACTTGTTCAATTGTTGTTAATATCAGAGTTATAAGAGATTGAATATTTTAAAATGGAATTGAGGTTAAATGACACAGAAAACGTGGCAGAAGCGAAGCTCCTAGTCGAGCTGGCGAGATTTATCGTGCAACCTGTACAAGTCCACACATTTCTCGACTTCTGCCCATAGCCGAGTTCTCTTGCGGGTCGGACGACCGTAATGGCCTAGTTCCGCAGGACACGTTCGTAATGGAGATATGTGTGTGGGGTAGGCTGTGCGATAGATAGAATCACCGTCGTGGGGGGAGAACAGCTCCAGACCGGTAACCCAGACTCCGCTCATGCTATAACGCCCCAGGGGTACTTTTGTTGTGCTCCTGTTAACTGCCGTAACTTAAAAAAAAAGATCTGTCGCCACATGCCTGTAATAACTTGTGTATTTGCATCCAGTTACTTGATTCAGTTTGCTTTGTTTTATTAAATTTGTGATATTCAAATATTTGCATTGATTCCAAACAGATGTATAGAATTTTCCGTTTGTTCGTTTTTCATATGTGTGTGTCTGTCAATTCGCGAATGTTTTCTTTCATATATCTGTTTGAAATGTAATATTTCGGTGAATAAAAACCCCAGGGGGTTTTGGGGAATGAAGGCCGATGACGCCTTGGCCCTGCGGAGTCGCCAGAAAGGCACGCTGAGTCACTGTCGCTCTTCGTTTCTTTTTCCTCCTCAGGAAGGATTTCGACCTCCCTAATTTTGTCTATAATTTCTTGCGATCTCAACTCACATGCAGTATATGCTCACTTGTATGAAAGAACGTCTTCCCGCCATTTTTCAAAAACAAAAAAAAAACACACGCAACGTAGGTTGCGCTTACCACGTGGTTACACTCTCACCAGCACATTCATAATGAATCCTTCTACGCCATGCAGCTTCTCTCCCAACCCTCTAACTGAAATCACCCTAGCGCTACGTGCTGCCATCTAACTCAATGATCATGCATTAAAAACCGACATGTCTATTTGGTTGCCTATATGTTTAACGATTCCCTTCTCGTGATTGAATTTTTTTTTTTTCAAATTCAAATTATTCAAATGTGATTTCGCGCCGCTGTTAATTAATTTCAGCGCGAAAACTTTGATTTAAATTCGGTCACCACAATAATTATACTTAAATATATTTATTGATGCGAAAACAGTACAAATTGTGTACACATGTCTAACAGAAGTGCCTTGAGCAAGACATGAAGTCTTTTGCTCAAATTAAACATTCTTATTTACATGTAGACATTAATTATTTGTTTAATAAGAATATATAAATGGCCTTCATCGATGGCCGCCGTCTCGAGTGCGTGGGTCCTCTAATTTAGGAAAAAGAATGCTGACATGCCGAAAGTTTTAAAAAATTGTTCATCGCTTGGAAGTTTGCTATTGGTGAGTTGCAAAATTTTTCGTATTAACAATAACAACAAGTCTTTACAACCCCAGCAAAAGGTTTAATAAGTCCACCTAAAATCAAAATTTTGTTAAGACTTAAAAAGTAACTATTGTAAGTATTTTATTTTACCCATGTTTTTTTTGCCCCATAATCTGTAAAACTGTAAGTCACTTCCTCGTGTTTCAATGCAAGAAGAAATGCAGTCTGTGCACTTAAACGTCTTCACCACCATTTTGACAACATAGCTACCAATATAGCCTGACTGCGAAATATGTGCAAAAAAAAAATGGGGAATAGCTCACGATACGAGTATGTCACTGTATAAAATTCACGATCCTAAGTGGTAACAGTGTCGGGAAAAAATTATTTGAAATTACTTATAAATTGTCACACACGCCGCTGGTAGTGTTTCTTGACCTACATCATTACTACAATGAATGGCACCCAGCGACGAAGTTTAAGAACCAAAAAACTAGTGCAAAAAGACGATAAGGACAGTAGTGCATCAGTTACTTGCCGTAGCTGGGTGTGTTCGGTTGTGTTTGACAATGGTGAATTTTACAAATTCAGAGCGTGCCGACATGATAATGCTGTATGGGGTGGCGGATGGGAACTCAAGCTTGGCCCGCGAATTGTGGATCAAACGCTTTCCAAATCGCGCGATTCCATGTGCGCGAACATTTACGTCAGTGGTACAGCATCTCCGAGATCATGGTACCTTCAACCTCAAACTCACGATCGTGGTCGTGATGGGACAGAAAGAAGAAATTGGATTTTCGCAGCTTGTAGTGGATCCTACATTAAAAGTACACGGTCACAACCATACCATGTTGACAAAGTGCACGGTTTGGAGTCCACTGATTGTCCACGTTGTGTAACTCACTTTTTGTCCGATGAAACTCCACATGGTCGTCAACAAGTACGATTTCAAGAGACGGTTTTCGAGAAACGTGTATTGGTTGGATGAAACAATTCGTTTGCGGAAATCAACAGTGTCCAGAAATAATCGAAGAGCTTCAACAAGTAAAAGTGACAGCCGCTACTCCGGTGTTTTTTTTACCTAACAACAAACCTCTTGCGACGCTCTGACGCTTGAATTGCTAGTCAAGGACAACATTTTCAACATTTCTTGTAAAAAGGTAGTAGCATTCTAAGTTGCTCTTATTTCTGTTCCAATAAACAATGTAAAATCGTTGTGACAAGCACCAAACATCCGTCAGAATCAAAATTACCAAAAAACTTTCACACTGACCTTTAACGATGAATGAGTAAATGAATGAACGAATGATAAGCAGCAAAAAGTCGGTTTTACTTTTAATTGAAACTGAAAGTGTTTAGGTCGTTTTTATTCGAACGTTTTTCCAACTCTGTTTACAAGGTGGCTCAGTGCCTTCGTATCGAGGGTGGTTCATGGGGGTTTTGCCCCATTCGATTTTTAATTTATTTTTTCTATATTTCGGCTCTACTAGGGTGGGGGATGCCGTGGTTAAAATATTTGCACATATTTCGCAGTCACCCTGTATATGCCACAACGTTTTCTGCCACTTCACTCGGCCCAATAAAATTAGACGGTCATAGTCATGATCTGCAAGTGCTTCAGTCAAAATATCGAGACCATATTTTTTCAAGACAAACACGTCAACTGATTGTTGAACATTTGTGCTCTTTTACTTTGGGCCACTGCTAACAGAGAGCATACAGGTGGTGCAAAGCACTTTACAATTTCCTCCTTCCCTCGTTATGTTTGTAAATAGAAGCAATCTTCTAAAAATTTTACAAAATTGTAGAGTAGTAGGGTTATTGTTTCACCCATTTCTCGATCTGAAAACAGAAAAATAAATACAGATTTGTGTAATTCCAGTGCATAAAAAAGTAATACAATTGTTTCTTTAAAAGCTTACCGCACTGAGCAGAATAAAATTTACAGATGATCTTGACTACATTTATATGTTAGCAAGTTATTCAACCTCTTACTACTAACAAATTCATCAAAAATTCCCATGAACGACGTAGCGGAAATAGCAAAGCCCAGAATTGACGTTTTTCGGGGCGTGCACCACAAAGGCCTTCCAGTGACATCCTTCATATTCAGAAGATACTCATTGGTGTCGATGAGAAATGGACACCACATTTCTTCATTGTTTTCTCTCAAAGGTGCCTTAAAATTCTTAGCATGTACACTTCGGGAATTGAGAATATCAAATAAAGAATCTATCCTTCTGATGAATTCTATTGTTGTTTCACAACCTTGAAAGTCACCAATACCAAGATCTTTTAAAAATTCAAGTGCATCCACAACTCTTGCTAAGAGTTTGTGCTGCTAAACTCACCTATAATAGAACTTAATTATTAATGTCAATAAGGAATATTCTCAGGACAACAACTTACTTTCATTTTATGTTGGCGCCACTCCAAATGTGCCTTTTTCAACTTGTTTGCAACATTTAGGAATTCTTCTTCATGTAGTTTCTTTATGTAACGCCAGCTTATCACCTTCCCTACTGTCAGAACTACTTTTTGAGTTCTTGCTTTTACTTCCACTTGTACTGCTACTGCTTTTTCCATGGTATCTCTGCGCAGCACTAAATAATAATTATTAACAGTAGTAAAAAATTCAATATGATAAAATATTCAAACCTTAATGTCCTCTTTACACCTTGAGGTATAATCGATGGAGACTCTTTTCAAATATCAGCTGAAGTAGCACTCACAGTACTCACTGAAGTTGAAGAAGCTTCTAGACTTTCATCTAAATTCACACTGGGAATTGCGTTCGATTTCAATCGTTTTCTCTAATTTACAACAATGAAATCAGTTGTTGTGAAATGATCTGAAGACACCAGCTTATACTTAGTCAGTTTGAAGCTGTCATCTTTTTTCACAACAATCAGCCACTTTTTTAAAAGTTCTCGATCTTTCGGAAACCTAAAATCAGATATAATAAATATTGATCACGTAGTATTGCAATAACCAATTGTTATTAATTATAAATACCTACGTATTCGATTTTAATAAGATAATGAAGAAAACTTACTGATGAAAAGATACACCTTCTGAACGAAATCGTTGACAATTTTTACAGTGAGAAACTGTAGAAGACATGTTTGTTGTCAATAATAATGGGTCAAATTTTACAAAGAGCACTTCGCGATTTCGGACAAACTTTTTGCACAAAACTCTTCTACAGCACCCCCTGATCACGTTCCTCACCTTCAAATGTTGTGGAAATGCTAATAATGTCCTTTAACACTAACAAGCACGTTCATACGTACACTAACGGTAAAACAAATTAAGTAATAATTTTAACTCCAAATTACAACTGGTTCAAGAACGTCGTAACCTCGTAGGTAAACAAAACTTTAATGTTAACTGATAAAATGGCGGCCCCCATTCTCCTTCACTATATCTCTGCTATTTCTGCATTTGTCTTTGTCTGTCAATAGCAAGATATAACGTGTGTTTTGTGGATATAACGCTGTTTGTGACAACTGATAAAACAGCAAAAAAGGTATGTTCTTTTCTTGTTAATGTTTTTAGGAAAATGTGTTTTGTCCTTCGTATAGATAAAGGACACAATGGTCAGATTAAAATCATCATCGACGATGAGTTTTTGCAAGGATTAACCATGCGTCGCGAAGGGCACGCTGAAGTAGAAGCTTGGCTTGCGGTTTTGAAATATGCGATCGCCATAGATTCTGCCGACTCCTACTACGACGGATTTTTTTATAAAGACACGGTGGTAGTACAAGATCTTGGAGGTTCCGAATTACGCCTTGAATTACCCTTCAACTCCTTCAACCGTTGCAGAAGAAAATTATTGGTTAAATTTGGGTCCGAAGTAGTCAAGATGCAGTTTTTAAGATTAATGACTCTCTGGAAAAATAATTTATTAATAAACAAAGTAAAAGTGTAGTAACTACATATTATAGTACCATATAATTGAAAACAAACCTCCTCTAGTCATCCATGGATTTTTTTTTCTAAATTGTGGTGGCAATAGTGTGGTTTTCCATTAAGCGACATCATTTTGAGTATTTGCTTTATTAGTGCTATTCTTGTTTATGTTGTTTTTAATTAAATAATTTGGGAACGTTTGCAGGTTCGTTTATTATAACCACGGTTGTACAATAGATAGGTTGATACACTAGCATACATTTGCATATCCCTGGTCAGCGACGCCAATTGTCGATCGCGTCGCCTGGTTTTTGACGTTTTAGGGACACAGAACTCTATAGGCATCTGTCTATAACCGATGTAATTAATAAAAGAAATCGTACTTATCGACTCCGATCAAATGTCATTTACAAATTTTGTATTGTTCATAAAGCAATGTAAACGAAAATCCCCAAAATAACTAGAATGATTTCCGCTCGACAAGGTAGAGGCGCTAGCTGTATGTGTCCTTTCCATGGATCATTGATTAAATACATATAGATAGACCCATGCTATTGTTTGGAGCGAACAGGCCAACGGCCGGCGAACAAGAGATGGCGCACCAACAGTCGGCCGTCAAACGCCGGCGAAAAGCTTGGACACCAATCGCGGGCGTAGATAACCCAAATCACAGCAACAATACATTTAATAAAGCTACCACTCGACAGAGGGCGACGAAAAAAATGTGTAAAAATCTCATAGTAAACATTTATATAATTTACAACGTTGCCAGATGAGCCTAACACAACTTTGCCGTTATTTCTAGTCGATTAGATTTTATTTCTTTTAAAAGTTTCTGGTGAATAAATGGAATTATTATAATGAATAAACAATACAAACAAATTATTACTTGTTATTTTAAATACTTGTTAGTGTTGATGAAAACATAAATGGTAATTAAAGTTATTCTAAATACGGTCCGGTCCGGTAGCTCAAATTTTACAGTACGAGTGGTATATTTCAGGACGAGTAGGTAGCCGAGTCTTTAATTTCGAAACGAGTACTGCGAAAAGAGTTACCGGACGTATGTTGTTATGTATTTTATTTCATACTGTCAACATACTTTTTTATTCGATAAAATTATTATTATTTTGAGAAAAAATCCAAATCGAGTCACTTTTTCTGACATCGTTAGCAACCGCTCTTTGGTAAATGTTTTAATTTGTTTATTCGTGCAAATCAGCATCATATGTTTAAACACATAGTACTTATAACACTTTACAGGACTTATTGTTTTGTATAATCCGACTCGATGGACGAATGTTTTGTGCAATCCGTCTCGAAGGACCAATGTTTGTGCAACTCGGCTCGTCCTACCAGTATTTTTTGTAATCTGGTTGATACGACAATGTGATACCGAATTGTACTTTGATATTGCTCCAAGGACCTTTGTTTTCTTGCGTGCGAGATAATAGACAGCGTTCGGTTTCGATGTTTAATACAGGACGGTTACAGAAGTACTAAATTTACATTTGTATTTACAATAACAGGTAAAGCAAAAGAGACCCAAAAGGGTCAGTGGCCGCTTCCGGAAATGGAACACTTGTCCTTTTTGGCTCAATTTTATCGGACTTGTCCGTTTTTTTGATTTTACCGGACTCGTTCGAATCCAATAAAACGTCAAACTTGACATAGTATGAAGTAAAATAAATAAATTTTATTTTCAAACGTCATATAACTGACACTTATACTCCGCCGGAGTCACGGTTGTAGAATAGATAGGTTTGTACAGTAGTGGTCATTTCTACGGAACCACTCGATAAAAAGTCAAGTTGGTAGCCCTGTCATCTAGTACTTTACGCCGAACGCGGTTGGTAGCGGTAGTTGACATGGCAATCGAAATTAGCACAACACGAATGTTTCGGTTGCCCTCAGCTATGCCGCACTGTATCCCATGCAGACTGTATGTTCTGTTCATCTATTTATTAAAATAAAATATCTACATTGACAATAGGGCCATCTAACCTGTCAAATTTTTGACACATATGTTTTCCCCCAGAAACCCGTCAAGGTCACTTACACCAAACAAATTTTGAAAATTTACACTAGGGAGTGGTTCTATAGAAAAGATCGCGACTTTACACTAATGGCTTGGGATGGCGACGCTTCTTTTCGATCCCTATATCCATGGAAAGGACACATACAGCTAGCGCCTCTACCTTGTCGAGCGAAAATCATTCTAGTTATTTTGGGGATTTTCGTTTACATTGCTTTATGAACAATCCAAAATTTGTAAATGACATTTGATCGGAGTCGATAAGTACGATTTCTTTTATTAATTACATCGGTTATAGACAGATGCCTATAGAGTTCTGTGTCCCTCATAGATAAATAATACTACGTAAAATAGAATGCAAAGTCGGCTGTAATGCGTGTCCCAGGTTTGTGTCTAGGCTTATGTACCGGCCACATAGTAAGAGATAGCACTGATAGCAGTGAAGTATTTTTTTCCAAAAATTACTTGGCGACAACTTCCACAGCCAATTTTAAGAAACAATAAAAAAACTAATGTCATTTATGATTAGTATAAAAGTGTCATTTGTGTGATTATACGTGATAACAAAGCGTAAAATATGAAACTATGCAGTGTTTTGAAATGTCTAAACACTAAAATTAGCAAACGCCATCGTTTTCCCAACCCCTACAAATACAACGAGCGTTTTAAAATTTGGTTGGAACGGACAGAGAATCCAAATTTAGGCAAATTAGATCCCATGAAAATATATAAAAATGGATATTTTCTTTGCGATGTACATTTTAAAGAAACGGATTTTGGCCCCAATCAAAAACTTAAAAATACTGCTATTTCTACAATTCAAATTATGCATGGTAAATATTTGTATGCAAGTGAATGCCATAGATAATTTTTACAATAATTTCAGATAATATGAACGACCCCGAAAGACACACCCATGATCCCGTAAACCCTATTTCTATACTGGATTCTCAAAAATTTTGTACTGAAGTATCTCGAAATTCCAGAGAAACCCTAAACGAAACTTTAAACCAAGAACCTTCTCGAATACTAAATTTACATTCAAATTCTAGGAATATTTCGCGTACAGCCCGTAGAAACAAAATTAAGGTAGCTTCGTATCGCCAACGATTGAAATTATACTCCAAATTTGAAGTAAAATTAGAAAGCAAAATTTTAAGTCAGGATGCTATAAATTTTTGTTTATCACAATTAAAAAGACGAAATGTCAAATCAAATGGTCGCAGGTTTACCACTGAAGATAAATTATTTGCATTAATGTTTTATAAACAGTCTGGGAGATGTTATAGAAAAATGAGACAGATTTTTGCACTGCCTTCACGTCAAACAATTATGTCTATGTTGAACAAAATTCCAGTAGACGTTGGTATAAACAAAATAATTTTCGACAATCTTAAAGAATCTGCTTCAAAATTAAATAACCAAGATAGAATATGTGCATTAATTTTTGATGAAATGTCCATAATGCCCCACATAGACTGTGACAAATATAGGGATACATTTTTCGGATTTCAAAATTTTGGATTTGAACAAAATTTACAGATAGCAGATCATGTTCTTGTTTTTTTCATTCGCGGAGTGTTTAAAAAATGGCAACAGCCAATATACTTTGCATTTTCTTTTTCGTCTACAAAATCTTACATATTGACAACTATTATGAAAACTCTGGTTGAAAAAATATAACATTGTGGATTCAAAATTCTGGTTACAATTTGTGATCAAGGCCAACCAAACCAAGCAGCTATAAATTCTCTGCTAAAGGAGTCGAAACAACGTTATATACATAAAGGGATGGAACCTAAAAGAAGAATTTTATTAGGGGATCAAGAAATTATTCCATTATATGACACGCCTCATTTAATTAAATGTATTAGGAACAATCTGCTTACTAAAAATTTAGTGTGGAAAACAAGCGAGGAAATTTTGGTTGCAAATTGGAAACATATAATCGATGCGTACTACAGTGATCAACCATGTGGAGAATTACGGGCTCTATACAAAATTACGGATCTCCACGTAATTCCGGAAAAAATTCAAAAGATGAAGGTGTGCTATGCGACACAAGTTTTGAGTCACTCAATGGCATCGACTATTACGCTATTGGTTAAATCTAGTAAATACAAATTTAAAAATAATTAACTGATTCATTTACAATTTAATTTTACAGCCGAATGCAGTTCAACACACGAGGCAATGGGAACAGCACGAATTATAAAATTTTTTGACAAGCTCTTCGACAGTGTAAATGGCCGTACTTTTCAACCATGGTGCAGAAAATCATTTTCTGGGGGCGTATTTAAATCTTCTGGTCATAAACATTTTTGGAAGGAAGCTATCAAAATTTTGGGTGATATGTATTTCGTCGATGAGGCCGGAAAAATGGTAGTACCTCCGTGTATAAAAAACTGGATTGCAACGTTAGAAGGTTTTGTGGATTTACATACAATTTTAGTAGAACAGGGCAGGTGCAAATATTTTTTACCTAGATGTTTAAATCAAGATGTTATTGAAAACTATTTTGGCAAAATCAGAAGTCAAAGAAATCGAGCAACTAATCTAACGGCAGCCCAATTTAAGGAAAGTTTCAAATCTCTATTATTACGGAATTTTTATAGTTCAAATTCAGTGGGCGCAAACTGCGAGAAAACGAACATACCGGATTTATTTCATATTAAAGGACTTGTGGATAAAAACATAAATCAACCTTCAGTAAATGAAACGAGTTACGAAATTTTAAACGTGAATATGTACATTTCAAAACTGTTTCCATATAATTTAGAAAAAGATCTTCATAAAAGTATTGTTGGTTATGTGTCTGGCTGGGTTGCGAAAACATTAAGAAATTTGAAGTGTGAATATTGTAAAACCCAAATTTTAAACAATTTTTCGGAAGACGAACAATGTTACAAATTAATACGTATAAGAGAATACAATTGTAATAACAGAAAATTGCAATATTGTAAATTAGATTTTATAAAAAACATTAACAGAATTTATAATATTTCAAGAATCGTTTTAAACAATTGTACATCTTTCGACAACATCAAAAACAAAATTTCGTTTATAGTATCTCATCATGTCAAATTTTCGTTTCATTGTGAACATAAGGAATTAATTGAAAGTGAAATATGTAATAAAATTATATATTTAACAATTTTTACGTTTGTAAAAGGTTTGAATTTAATTTTAAGCGGTCGCAGTACAAGAGTTTCCACACATAAAAATGCATTATATCAAAATGCTTGTATAATGTACCAAAATAAAATTAAAGTCAAAAAATCGTAGACAATATTAATAAATTGTATATTATTCTACTCTGTGTTTTTGATATTATTAATGATAATAAAAATAAAATATTAATTATAAAATATGCAGCAATGACGCATCTAGTAGTTCATGCTTTAGCACCGGCCACAAGGCACCAGGGGGCGTTTATTGGGACCAAAAATCAAGTGGGAGTTTGCATTCTATTTAC